CACTCTTCAGTGCTTACATCTATGAATAATTATTAATCTGTTTAATGCCATCTCGTCTGAACTGCTTTATCAAACTTTTTGATTTTCCGCAGTGTTGTGTTCAACGCTGCGCACTGTTTCCAACAGAATCGTTTACAAAAACCAATTAAAAACAACAATAGACAGAGACATATGTTCACGAGTCATTGTCACTTGCATCCTCATCATCCTGGTTGATCTGGAAGTACCGCAACTCATAGGTATCCTTTGAAGAAGCTACCACACGCAACCAATCCCGAAGTGTGTTACGTTTCAGATATTTCTTTGTCAGATACTTCAAATATCGTTTTGAGAACGGCGCCTAAAATGGCACAGCAGCATTTTTTTTTTTTTCAGGGTTCCAATCTCAAAAAAAAAAAAAAAACCCAAACTGAAACTTTCAAAAAAAAAAAAAAAGAAGTCAGGAAAATAAAGAATTACCTCCGATGTGAGCATAAGTTTGGTTTTGATGAGTTCCAACTTCACGCCACTTACCGCCATCATACCAACCTTGCCATTCACCTTGATATGTGCGTTGAGGAACGTCTCCTGGAAAAATAACGTCGGGTCTTCGCTGAGGGACTGTAACAACCAGTGGAAGAAGTCAGTCAAACAACAAATTCCACTGGAAGTTTTGCCCTCTGCCCAACGTTTGTACAGAAATGGCAACTCTGTACGGCAAGAATTATTCAAATGCTTTGAAACAACACGAAATTCAGAAAAAAAGAAAAAAACACTGCGGCCACCAAACTTCAAGCTGTTTTCCGCATACACCACTTAACATTTCCTCTTCACATGACACACTGTTTTTTGGTACATGTTCAACAACACTATCTTCTTTACCTTATTATATTTCCCTCCCCCTGCCAATTTAATAAAATGGGTCGCCGGATTTAGGACCGACTCCGTCTTATGTACGGCCTAGTTAGAGTCACCCAGTCCTTACTTTTCCTAATTCCTTCCGCCCACAGGGCCCAAACGGCCCGTGTGGTCTTTTATTTACCAGGTCTGGTCTGAAAGATATATTAAAAGATCCTACGAAAAAGCAAATTCCAGGTGTTTACTGTAAAAACTGTCTGGAACTAAAAAAGCAAGGGAGGCGAACGCCTGTTTCAGTATAAAGAAATGTCATTAGCTTGCACATAAGCAACCCTCTTTCGAGGATTTTTTGCTTATACGTAAGCAGAGTGACGGATTTGACTCACTGGGTAAATACCAGTACCAATTTGCCATCGAAACGAATGAACGAATTGTAGAGGGTTTGATTGTCTCATCGGTGGGGTCGAACTTTCGACTTACTGCACGACAACAATGCTGGTCCACTGCACCATACCATCAGCAGGTAGGAGAAAAATCATTCCCTAATGGTGGTCGTTTTGTTGGTGGAATCTGCCCATTTTAACATCCTAAACTGAAGACCCGGAGTGCTTTTTGTCTGTAAGCCCATGGTAAAAAGCACTGGCCTAATCCGGTATAGTGAACCAAGCTGATCGAACGGGTTTTTGGGCCTACCGAATGAATGAATTGAACCGCCACAGACATAGGCGGATCCAGGCTGGCTTCCTGGAGAGACGGGATTTTGCCAATTTTTCTTGTTCCTCCTCCCTTCCGGTCCTCGGTACATCGCAAACTCTACTACTCTCTCTCCTGCTTGTCACTACATCGGGAGCCTCATTTCTCCCCTCCCCCCCCCCCCCCCCCCCCCCCCCCC